CATGGAGGCCAATTCATCCTCAGACTTGGTGTCGTCAGAATCCTCACTAGAGGAGGAAGAAGTGCTAGGGAGGTCCTCCGCCTCAGCCCTGGTATTCGTCGCCGTCTCGGTAGAAACACCGGCAAACGGAACTTGGATGGCATCTACCATGGCGGTGTCACGGTCATCTCCATAAGAGGCCATCTCCGAATCAGAAGAATGCTCTGTGGGGCTCATCTCGATCGAAGCCAGAAATGAAGATGGGGAATCCAAGGTTGGGAAGTTACCTGAGCAAGGGAAGCAAAGGGAGGTTTGCAGAGGAAACAACGAAGGCCAAGGAATTGCAGAGTCGAAACCCGGAATTGAGGAGTTAAGGGCTAATTTATAGCCTTGAAACCGCCGTGTCGAGAACCAATCAGAGAGCGACACATCACTAGGGGCATTTAAGCTAGACACGCGTCTAATGGAAAGACTAAACGACGGTTATCATGATGAATATGGGGAAATGAAGCGACAGCCGTCAAATCGCAGCATGGGGAACTGATTACTTCTATATCCCGATCACCATTCGGGGTATTATGACATTGGTATACTTCCTGATGCACTCACTTCGTTCGAGACATCGGAAGTGGGGGACTTGTGTTGGGATATTGACCTAGAGGCCCAATACCCAGATCGGGAAGGCCCAAGGTATCCGGCCCAAATAACAGGCCCATCACTCTATGATGAAAAGGTCCAGTAAGGAGACATACCGAACGGGGTTCGGCCCAAATAATGGTTGCCCCAATAAGAAGACATACCGAACGAGGTTCGGGCTATATATCATACTTGGGCCAATTTGACAGCATCTTCAGTACAGCCCAACATCCCGTTCGAGCAACGGCCAACCAGCAAGTGGCCAGGTGCAGTTAATGCCAGACTATGACATCAGCAAGTGGAAGCATGGATGACTAAGTCGGTGGAACAACGGTCAATCAGCAAGAGGCAGCCCATGCTCTCCATTAGTATAAATAGAAGGTTTCAAGTCATTGTAAGGTTTAGATTTTCGATACTCAAGCTCTAGAATAGCATCACTTGCTCTTATTTCTTGTACTAAAGCATAGTTTCCGACTAGCCGATCGGGAAATCCCTTGTAATCAGATTGGTTAGTTAATACAAGTGAGCTTTCGAGTTTTAGTTAGTACAGATCTTATATTTTCATTTACGCTTTGATTCTGGGTCATTCCTGATATATCCAAAGTTCGTGTTGGGCTTTCGGATCTACGGGACTTACCTTCAACAGGAGTGATCAACCTTTATTTGAGTAACAAAAATGATGATGATCATATTTTGAAAAACTTTATTATGTTTTACTCCTATGTAAAGAACTTTCTATTTTTAGATTTGTTCATTTTTACTGAACACAAATAATCTATTTCTCATTCGTTATTTTGCATTTGACAGGTATGCAAAATACACAAAGATATGGTGTATTTTCGTAAAGGAGTATCACTTTCTATTTTGAGTAGTTCGTATATAATAAAGACACGGCATAACTTACTTGTGCGAAAATGAAACCGATAATAAAAACGTAAGTTAAGTCATTTATAGATCGTAAATTTACTACGTAGTATTTTTTTTCTGGACAAAACTTAAAAAAAAAATATCAAGAAATCCGTTTTAATTTTTCAAGGTGAAATTTTGCATTTCAGTAGTATTTTTTATTTGCTTTAGAAAGATTTTGTCATACATATCTAAATAACACCATAACACATTTATCCGAAAAACAACCAAACAATAGGGATGTACATGGCCGTAAGGATAGGCCTTATCTAGGTCCCAAGCCGATGAGTAAGGGAAAAGGAGCAATTAAGCCCTCGATACTAAACGAAAAAGTGCAAATCACACCTTTTATAGGAGCCTCTGTCCGACCGTCACCATTTGGAGCAGTTCTCGGTGGTATTTTTTGATGAATTTTTTTGAGCATCTTCTTCATTAAGCCTAGTTTACCAATACCAAATTTCAGCTAAAAGTTCAATTGGGAAGGTAGTCAAATAAATGTTTGAATATAACTGCGCAGTTAAACAGCGGAGTATATTTCAGAAAATCTTTTAACTGTCTTCCCGGTTGAATTTTTAGATGCAATTAGGTATAGGTAAACTAGACTTAATGAATAAGATGATAAAAAAAATCATCAAAACATTTCATTGGGAACCGCCCCAAATGGCGACGTCCGGACAAAGCCTCCTATATAAGGGGTGATTTGCACTTTTTCGGTTGGTTCGAGTGCTTATTTGCCTCTTTTCCCACGATTAGTAATAACAGTTTGGGGCGGTTTGGGACGTCACCAACTAACAAAAATAATTAAATAAAAACCCACCATTTGTAATTATAATATATTAGCATTTCTGCGGTATCATGTACGGAGTATAAAAAAATTAACACTAATTTAAAATTGAGAAAAGTATGGAAAATGTACTTGTGGTTGAGCCCGTTTTCAGATAGGGTCATGTGTTTCATTCTTTATCAAAGTGGTTCATATGTTTCAATTCCGTTATCACAAGAGGGTCACGCCGTTAAAAATGTCTGAAAAATACCGTTAAAAGTAATTCTGATTTTCAAAAGTGCCCGAAAAATTAAAAGAAAAATACCGAAAGGTGCGCCTCGTCAAGATGACCTCCAAACCACCTTCGCCTTTGGATTTTTCATATCTATTTGAATTATTTTTTAAAAGCTATTTGGTTTTAATTAAATTTAGAAAAAATTGAAACTAAAATTTAAAATAAATAAACAATGAAATAATGTGATTTACTTGCATGGAACTTACGTAAGTTACGTTAGTAAGTATTATGTTAGGTTTTATTTTTTTAATTGAAGTTGCATTACAAATAGTTAATTTTTAATTAAATACTAAGCAACACAATAACAAATGGAATGACGGGACGGAGGTAGACGAATAACCTTGTATGTTCCCGGTGGCGGAACTAGGGGGCGAGCCGGTGCCGGCGCTCCCCCTTCTCCGGCGGTGGTTCTGTATGTATATATATGTATATATCTCAGTCCCGGTTCAGAAAGTATTCATATATTAAAGTGCAGTCGTTATTTGAACGTATGAGTTGTGATAGTTCAAATGATAGGTAGAGATTGGAAGAGTTCTATGTACCTAAATGGCCTGGGTTTAATTCTCGGGAGCAACAATATTTTTTTGCTTTCTCATTTGCTTTGCCTTGCACCTTTCTTTTTACGTATACTGGTATGACTCCATTATTGCTTCTTTAGACTTTAGCCCATTTGGTAATTATTTATGTTCAATTAAATCACTCTAGGATGTAATGTTGTTTAAATCACACTTTTTGAATTTCTATATCTTTTATTTTAAATTCTCATTTCTTCAATTCAAATTATTTTTAATCATTTCTTCTTCTAATAATGACATATACGGACGTTGTCATTTAATGTCAAGAATAATTCTAAAACTATTTTAAGTTAATATAACTATTTACCTTTTGTTTAGTATAATAGCATTTTTATTTGAAACACACTACATATACATATACATAAGTTTCAGATCAAATAAAAAGATTTTCTTATCATGAAAATTGATCGAGAATAAATCTTGTGTATTTAACTTGAAATCCGATGAGTCAAAATCAGTCAACAATGCACTATATTTTATCAAAAACTCAGTGACAATTTGATAAATAAATCAAAATTTTCTCTCATTGTGAAAAAGTGTAAAATAAATATCTACTAGTGTACCAAAATGAGTAAAAAGTGTGTATGTTCTCATTTTTCACGGGAATAACTCTTTTTATTAGAACCTCACTCTATATGTATCTAATAATTATTTTTCACTCGTTTTTATTTTATCCTAATAAAAAATTGTTTTTCAAATAAAAATATAAGAGCACCCCCCTCAAATTATTGTCTGGTTCCGTCGTTGTATGTTCCGATCATGTTAATAGAATATTTAGGATACTTGTTTCCTTGTATATCTCAAACTCTTCTATATAAATATATCTGTCAGGACTCCTAATGGAGTACCCTTTTCCCAAATTCGCACATGGTATCGAGAGCTTAGGTTTAATTTTTTTTCGGCTCCTTCTCTCACCTCAATTTCCCACCGCCTCCTCAATCTCCAACTGCGGCTATGGCTTTTGCGGACTCTTCACCGCCGCCCCACGGTCAGGACTCTTCTACAATTGACGTGCTGCCATGCTCTGCAAATAATAATAATAATAATAATAATAATAATAATAATAATAATAGATCAGATAAAAAAGATTCAGATCAGATCAAAAAGATTCAGATCAAATCAGATCAGAAAGATTCATTTCAGATCAAATCAAAAAAATTCAGATCAGATCAGATCTTAAAAAATTCAGATCAGAAACATTCAGATCAGACGAAGAGAACAACTTCTATGTGTAAGAACTTCAAGTAGTGAGCCGTGTGTCCATAATTCCATATGCCAAATAGTAGGTCTTTTAGTTATTGATTTTCTTATTTAAGCCAAATAGGTAATAACCTAGATGACATATATATCGAAACTAAGTCCCAGAGCCAGTGTAGCCGCCACCGCGGCACCGCCTAAGTGACCCATCTCACTTATGTAATTTTTTTGTCTAATTTGTAAAGTGATCGATAAAAGTTGAATATATAAAATAAAAAATCGAGAATAATTTACATGGGCCGGGGAATATGAACGAAGACCTTTACCTCATATCGGAGGTAATATACGTAGTACATAGTAACAAACTGTGAGATAGATATGTGTTTTTATTTAGACAATTTGACATTTACTTTATTACACTACGAAATTAAATGTTTCTGTTTTATTCTGTAATATTTATTTTTAATGGTATCTAAAGACCCTTTTATAAAGTTTGACGACAGAAAATTGTTAGAATCGACCCTAACCCTTATCCAATAAAGAGGTTGAGTAATATGCCTGATATGGCAAAAATATTAATCACCAAAAATATTAATCACCAAAGAGACTCAAAATGTATAAAAATATAGACATACTTTAATTATTTGGACTTTTCCTATCGCACCAAGAGTGAGCCATTGTGTGCAGTGTGTGAATATCACATTACATATTCCGTAGCATTTTATAAAGTCGTATCCCTCCACCCGCCAGTCTTCAGAGCACAATTGATCGAAGACAAAGTATGCCAAAACTTTCTTCTTATTCCCCATCTCCGTCACATACTTTGCTTTCACACTCTGCATCTCCGTATATCATCTGGCGGCTTTCCTGACATTCATTCCCAAATAGTGTACCGCGCGGCGGAGTCAAATTATTATGGTGCCGGCGGTCCGGCCGGATGAGATTCTGCCGTCGGGATCTTCCATTGAACTTTCCGATGCCCAGAAGCAGGGGATCTCTGCTAGGGTTCCTGTTTCGGATATTTGCTCTGCAAGTAATGAGGTAAATAGTTTAGCCTTATCTTGTTTTGTTATCTTTTGTTTTTATATGGACATAAGAGAATTGTCATCAATGAATGAATATCTCAAAATTTAGAGCCCATAAGAAACACTGTTTGGTAAAATAAATACTAGTCTGAGAAGTTGTTGACTCGTTAAAATTGGTGCAATTTGATTATACTCCGTAACATACTCCGTATGAAAAATAAGTAGTACTGGTATTAAATATTAAAATGCACATAGTAGGCAGCTGATGGAGTATTGTTCCAACTGCAACATATTTGTTTCCGTGCACACCAAATTCATTGTAACTAGGTGTTATCACCCGTTACAATGAATTATCACCCGTGCATCGCACGGGAAAATTTAGTAAGAAATTACGTGTTATTATTAGCTTACAATAATGATACATCATACTTTTGAAACAAATGCAATGCAATGTGAAAATGCATTGAAAGAAAACGTAATACTTCCTAAATATTAAGACTTCGAGCTCACTTGGAGATGATTAGGCTTAGCAGGCTTATGAGCTTATCAATCTATTCTTTCACCAAACACATAAATTATGATTTAGTGCGTTGAATTGTGTAATAGTAAGAAAAAGTAAGATTGAAGTTACTTTTGACTGTATTGGCTGAAGTTATTGCAGATGATTATTTTACCTATTTTTCATATAAATTTTTTCATTTAAATAATAAAACATATTTTAAATATAATATTTTTCATAAATCAATTGAATCAATGAACCAATCCACTTTAGCCAGAACTTTATAAATTTCAACAGAATCGATCAATGCAGTTGATCAGGGTATTATCAAACTAGCTCTTCATAAATTAGAAGAGTCGCATTGTATGATAATTAATATTACAATCAAATTGTATGATCCCAAATACTTGTAGTTGTTATCTTAATTTGGATATTGTATATATTCGTTCACAATGTGCATCGTTATCCATTGTTATCTTATGTGCACAAATATTTTTGTGCGGACCACTGTCGGATCACCTCATTTTGAGATGTTTTGATTTAATTTTTTGATAAAATTTTATGAGCATAATGTGTATATTATGTGCATCGAATTTCATTTAAAATTCAATCGAAAAGTTGATTAAATAAAATACATACTCCCTCCGTCCTTTAAGAATCCATTTTGGTATATGAAATTTGATTAACAATAAAGTTTACTAATTCATGTGATGACCAAGATTATATTTAGCAAATACAATTTACATACTCGTATTTAGGAAGTACATTAAATATTTTATAAAGTCATAAAAATTCAAATTTGATAAAAGTTAATTATATACTTCGTATAAAGTAAAACATTAAATAGTGTTTGAGTTGACCACAAAATATTAACCACTTGTTTCTTATAGAGTTTTAGGGAGGGATGTAATATCTTTTTTTAAAAAAGACACCAATACATTAAAAAAGAGTACAAATGTTACTGACATAAGTAAGGGGCCGTTTGAAACTGATTCTGCTTCTACTACTTTTTTAAAGTAGAATCAGAATCAGAATCAGTTTTCAGAAGCTAGTCACCCCCAACTTCTAAAAAAACTGATTCTAGGAGTAAAATTAGAGTACCAGAATCACATCTGCACTTTCACCCAAACACTTCAACTTCTGCTTCTGCTCCCTGAATGAGCAGAAGCAGTTTTAAGAATGAGATCCAAACACCCGCTAATGGAAAGAAATATCAAGTACTTCTCATCAAAACCATGGCTGAACGCTTCAACATGATATAAGTCCTAATAGCGAATTCTAGTGCTAGCGATAATAGGGAATTCTAGTGCTAGCGATTAGTGAATTCTAGTGAATTTATTAAAATGTACATAGTATATAATTGATGGATTGTTTTAGACTAAAATTTGCTGGTCAGGTCTGGTCTGATCTGGTCTGTTTAGGTCTGATCTGGTCTGGTTTGGTAAAAGTCTGGTCTCTGTGTATTTTATAACCACCCAAGTCTGATCTGGTCTGATCTGTTCTGATACTGGAAACAGTCCAAAAGAAAACATCCTTTTTAATTAGTTCCTGCAGTTGGAACAATACTCCATCAATACTAATAATAATAAGTAACATATAAAAACTTAATTATTATACTACATGCACATTCTTTTTAGGAACCGAGAGAGAACCGTTAAATAAAATACAACTACAAATCATTAATAAATAACTAATTAATTTATGTTGAAATCGAAGGATTATAACGGTTTAGTCCAATTCAATTTGTTGGTTCTTATTTATTCCAGAGTCCCAGTGCTAGCTAATCGCTATAAATTGTCTCATCAAGTAATTATGAATTAATTTACTCTTATGAATAAGTACATTGAAGTACAAATATTATTACTCCGTATGTAACATATTCGAATAATACTTGAGAGAAAAAAAATAGTATACTTGTCAAGAATGTAACCACTAACCAAGTGACATTAGGTTATTTGAAGATTAATTAGATGACATGTAATGTGTTTGCGGGAGATTATTAAAAAAGAAAACCTGATATCAAAATTTAAATGTGTATTTTCTTGGATTATTGTTAAAATATACGGAGTATTTAATGTTTTAGAAAATTTAATTATTTGGATATTTTGTTGATAGTGATTATCATTGAGATTGTTAGAAAATTTATTATATGAAAATGATGCGGCAATGATGCACAGGAGATGATCTCTAAAGACAATATTTTTTGCTCTACCTTTATTAAAGTGCTACGGAGTATGATTGATAGACACATTTTTTTGTCCCTAGACGAATGTCAATCATTTTGACTTCTTATAAATAAAATTGTGCTACGACGAAAGGAAATTTAAACACGAGGGAGACTGAATATGATGTGAATAAATCGAATTGAACAAGATAAAATAAGAGTAATTGGTCTGGTAAAGTTAAAATGGGTTGAATCTATTAAAAATGAATGAATTAAGCTTATATGGGGACTGAATGTGTTAGATATTAACAGAAATTACTCCAAATAAGACTAAGACTATGGCAACAACTCAAAATAGGACTTATTATGTTTTTATTTTCAAAATAGAACCATATTAGTCCTATTGGAAACATACATGTTTTTTCATTCCATTCTTACCCTTCCTTTAAATATGAGTTAATTAAATGTTTAATTCATAATAAATTCGAAAAAAAAACAAAAATTGAAAAATAATTAAAAAAATTATAAAATATTTATAAAATAAAAAATTATTTTTTTTTAATTTTTTATTTTTTTAAAAAATTAATAAAAAATAGTAAAACTCCATAAAAAATTAAAAAAATGTAGATGCCTTTCCCACCGCTTGTACTACCTCCCGCACCACCATCTCCGGCCGGGAAAAAAATGCCATTTTTCTTAAAAGCTGTCATTTTTTCTGAAAATGCCAAAAACATGGCATATTTCTCTTTGAGAATGCCAACATTTTCAGTGTTTTCTATCATAAATATGACATTCATAATGAACTTGGCATATTTTTCCCCTGGTGATTGGAGGTGGTGGTGCAGAGGCGGCAGAGGCGGCGGTGAATTTTATTTTATTTTTTTGAGTTTTTTGTTTAAAAAAAATATTTTTTTATTTTTTGAAAAAAATAAAAAAATAGATTATTATTCAAATTTTTTTTATTAATTTTTAGTATTTTTTACGATTTTTTATTATTTTTTATTATTTTATTATGAATTAAAACATTTCAATAGCTATAAGGGTATATTTGTCCAAGACACACATAATTAGTCCTATGAAAACATAGTTTATTTTTTGGTCCTATTTGTGAGAAGTGAGTGAGTTTTAATCCTATTTTGATAATTAACCCAGATATTAAACTGTGAAAATAAAATATTTAGATATATGTGTAATAAAAAAAGGTACATTGAAAATAGATTTGCATAAAGGATCAAATTTGAAAGAATGTAAAACAAAATGTACTACAATTGCAGAGACTAAAAACATCTTTAGACATTAACAATATAACACAATAATAAATAAACCAAGCATTCCAACCCAGCTGGTTGTGAGGTTAATGTGCCTAGTGAGAGATCTCGAGTTCGAAATCCGCTAGGCACATAAGGGTTTGAAACTCAATATAGTGAGTTTCAGTCCTGATTACTCCAGGCCCCCTAGCCCCCTCCCCCAGATGCCCCTAGAGTAATATATATATATATATATATATATATATATATATATATATATATATATATATATATATATATATATATATATATATATATATATATATATATATATATATATATATATATATATATATATATATATATATATATATATATATATTACTCTAGGGGCATCTGGGGGAGGGGGCTAGGGGGCCTGGAGTAATCAGGACTGAAACTCACAATAATAACCTTAAATGGATTATTTTACCCAATTTATTCAATACAAAAATAGACCAGACTTAACATAAATAAACTAATGAGACCAAGTGCATATACCTATTTTAGTGTGATTAATACGGAGTACCAAATTTTCAAGGTTCTACTTGAAATACTTTCGATAAAAAAAATAAAAAAAGGATGACACCCCATCCCTTAGGGCCTCCCAACCCCGATCAGACAGTACGTTGGGAGGATGTAAATTGAACTATAATCCCAATCTGACAGATAGAGAGTGGGACGCTGTCCCCAGTACTTGCAGAGGACCTATATATGCATTTTTAGCACAGTAATCTTTCATCGCAGTTGCCAGGATTCGAACCGGGAACCTAACCCTTGTGGGACTCCCTTGCTACCAGTTGAGCTACGCCCACTGGTTGAAATACGTTCAATAAGTCGTGTGGGATGGAATATACTAGCTTGATTTGGGTCGATCTTTGCTAGACTTCATGCAAATGTATGCGGGCATTCCGGGCAACTTGATTTAATTTCAACCTTATATTCTTACGTCCAAAAGGTTGAATGCCCAACCCCAAGACCCACCACCCCGACCCGACATGATGGTGGGGAGGTTAATCACGGTGATTCAGTCAGCAAAGCAGCAGTAAACCTTTACCCGTGCGCACCAGAGGGCCAGCCTTATTTCAGGTTCTGTAAACCCTCTTTTGGTCGCTGCGAGATTCGAACCTTGGTCTACATCCAACCTTACATTCTTATAATACACCATACATGGCCATTTTTTAGGAGGTTCAATAGATTATCCAGAACATGGCCCTCGAATTTACGGGGCCCCATGTTTTTAAAAAATTATTAGTATTATACTCCGTATAGTAATATTAAATATTAATACTAATCAGTACAATACAATTAGTAAGGAAGAAAAATAAATATTAATTATTTTTTCTTCGGTCCATTCCCTCTTTTAGTTCTCCTTTAATGAGTATTCCTTTAATGAGTATTCCATTGATTTGAGTATAAGTATTTGGATTGAGATTCTTTTAAATTTTTTTATAGTAATTGGGACCTCAATTTTACATTTTGAATTGGAGCCTCCAAATTCATTTGATTACCCTGACACCATATATATCATGCATAAAGACTACATCAAGTTTTATCAGGCTTATTTTCAAAAAAAAAATGTTTTATTAGGCTTAAACACACCTAATGAAATAAAATAACATGTCTTCGTGGAATATACAACATACACACAAAATCAAACTTAAACATATTAGTTCACATCATATACAAATAGATTAGTACTCAGTATCAAATTAGACTAATTCAAATCAGACCACACATGAAAATTTCAATCGAAATGAAAGCACCAGTGTTGTACAAACTAGTATTTCACCTGTGTGATGCATATGGAGGTCAACTTAAGGTTCCTGTCCACTATTCATATGGTCAGCTTAAATCATTTTTAATTTTTCTTTATATATTAAATTTTTATCACATTTACATATTTTTTATAGAAATTAGTTCAAATAGGACTAAAACTATGGCAAAAACCTAAAATAGGACTTGCTATGTTTTTATTCCAAAATAGGACCATATGAGTCCTATTGGAAACATACCTATTTTTGCATTCCATTCTTACCCTTCCATTAAATATGAATTAAAAATAGTCAAAAGCCATAATTAAATGTTTAATTCATAATAAATTCGAAAAAAATAAAAAATTAGTAGAAATATAATTAAAAAATTTATAAAATTTTTATAAAATAAAAAATTCAAAAACTTTTTTTTAAATAATTTTATTTTTAAAAAAATTAATAAAAAATAGTAAAACTCCGTAAAAAAAATTTAAAAAATATGGATGCCTTTCCCACCGCCTGTACTACCTCCCAGCACCACCACCTCCGGCCGATGAAAAAATGCCATTTTCCCAGAAAAATGCCATTTTTTTTTCTGAAAATGCCAAAAAAGTGGCATATTTCTCTTTTCGAATGCCAACATTTTCATTTTTTCTGCCATAAATATGGCATTCGTAATGAACTTGGCATTTTTTTCCCCTGGTGACTGGAGGTGGTGGTGCTGAGGCGGCAGAGGCGGCGGTGATTTTTTTTTTTGAGTTTTTTTATTTTTTATTTTTTTTTTAATTTTTTTTATTTTTTGAAAAAAAAAATCAATTAAACTTTTAATATCGAAATGTTTTTCTTAATTTTTTAGTATTTTTTACGAATTTTTATTATTTTTTATTATTTTATTAGGAATTAAAACATTTTAATAGCTATAAGGGTATAATTGTCCAAGGTACACATAATTAGTCCTATGCAAACATAGTTTATTTTTTGGTCCTATTTGTGAAAAGTGAATGACTTTTAGTCCTATTTTGATAATTAACTCTATTTTTTATCAAGCTTTGTAGCGGTTTTAATGTAGTTTTAGAATATGTAAATTTTATTTACTAGAAATAATCAGAGTGTGAATAAGGATTAAGTTGCTTTATCGTCGGTCAAGCATCATAAACCGTTACGAGAACCTTCTAGCGGGACGGAGGGAGTAGATGTTAATTTATGAGTACAACGAGATTCCTTTTTAAGTGGTGTATCTGTTCTTAAATAATTACACTATTTTAGTTTTACATTATTTTCATGTTCTGCACCATTGGTGTTCTTATGAGCACCATTGTTGATTAATATATACTTGAAATTTAATTTTTGAAAAGTATTGCTCAATATGTATTTTTAAACTAATAATGACATAATTATATTAATAACTAAATTTGTGCGCAGATACATACTCCCTCCGTCCCAATTTGATTTGCAAAATATTCTTTTTTGATCGTCCCAAAATGATTTTCCACTTTCTATTTTAGGTATGTAAATAAGAATAAAGTGACAAATTTACCCTTACTTTTACTTTTTCCCCATTAACTTAAAGACATCTACTTTTAGAAAGATGGGCAAAAGTGTAAAACGCAAGTATCATTTATTGTCATTTCTTAATCCTTGTGCCGGTCAAAGTTTGCAATTCAATTCGGGACGGATGGAGTATTACGGAATAAAAAATACTAGTACCTCTGTCTCATTCAAAGGTTCCAAACCGCTATTCACATGGTAAATTTAAATCATTCTTAATCTTTCACTTTATATATCAATTTTTTATCAAATTTAAATTTTCTTGATCAAACTTTGTAAAATTTTTAATGTAATTTCTGAATATATAAATTTTATTTACTAAAAATAATCAAAGTGTGAACAAGCATCAAAGTGCCAAACATTATAAACGGAATCTGGAACATTTCTATGGAACGAAGGGAGTACTTGATTGTTACACCCTCCTCGTCTGTCGTCAAAATAGGAGAGCTTTTTTTGAAAGGGTCATTGTACGAGAGATGGAAATTAAAGAATAAAAAAAAAACGAGAGAGCTGCGCGATCCGGAGAAGAAGATCCCAACTAGTTAATGATCAGATTGCAGCCACAAATTAAGGAAGTCATTTTAGGGACCATTTGATTTATCAAGAAAATTGGTTTTTCTTCATCGTCTTTTGCGCAAGCTTTTGGTGAAGAATGAAGACTTACGTTTCGACTAAATACATACATAAATTAGATACGTAAAAAGATAGAAAAGATATAGTGATATTCAAAGTTTTAGAAAGTGTCACTTATATTAACAAAAATGAGTTTATGTGGTTGATATTAAATTGATAAAGTAAGAATAATGTAAAAATGATTTAGAAGCACACAAACTTTACCAAATTTGGTATGAGACAATTTAGTGTGATTTTCCGAAAAGGTAAAATGAGACAAACTTAGCGGCACAAAGGAGTACTATCTAATAAAATGCTTGCATTATTTGACGCTTCCTTGATAAAATATTTTTCAAAATAAAATGAAAACATAACAAATTGAATTTGTTCAGATATAACTACTACGGAGTACATTTTTTATAAAATTTTCTGTTTGACAATAAATGAATAACATCTTTATTAAAATAATGATAATGCCATGTATACAAAAGTAATACCCTGTATGATGGTGACAATGTTTGGAGAAACATTGCATTCGATATATTTTAGTGTAAGGTGGGTGTATACACACAAAGCAACAAAGATAAGTGAATTGTGATATACAACTTTTTCAATAACAAATGGAGTCGTTTCATTTTCATTTACCCCGGAGCCGCAAAGGCTCCCACCTATGGTGGGGTGGGGTAGGGAGGTCGGATGTACGCAGTCTTACCCCTGTACTAAAGCACACAGAGACTGTGAATTGTGATATACAACTTTTTCAATAACAAATGGAGTATGGTAAAAAAATTATAATCAGAGCATCTGTATTTTTGGATATAGTTCTAAGTTCTAACATATGTTGCACGGATACAGATTCGTGGATACCTCACTGCGCCGACACGGGTACTACACTACAACAACAAGTTTGAAAAACATAGGATACGGGTATGATTGAGAAAATTTATGGATAATAAAAAGTTGAGGTTAATTTACAAAAACAACACACAAAAAAAAGAATTTCGAAAATTACCATGCATCAAGTATCAGTGTAAGAATACTATATTTTTTATGTGGGCTGGATACATGCTGTATGTGGATCAGTTAGCATTGGCATTTCATTGTTCAAATATTTTATCAATTCTTACTCAGCTTGAAAGAGATAGGCTAGCTACCTATCATGTTTTTATGAAAAAAAATCCTATTGCTCCATCCATAACCTTATATTTTGTTAGTTAGATCTTTTTAATTATACTGTAATTTTCTAGTCTGGTTTGAAGTGGTTTGGTACGGTATTGTCATGCTCTACATGAATTTTATAACAGTCGAAATTCGATCCGGTCGAGTCTGATTTGGTTTGGTTTGTTTAAGTCCAATATTGTTTGATCTGATTTGGTATTGAAACCAATCCAATTAAAAACATGTTTGAAAACCCGGAATCACCCCCTCACTCCCACTAGCCCCATATCCTTCCAAACCAGTAACACCTTGAGTTTAAATGAAGAGAAAAATCTGAATAAAAATTTTGGTGGAAAAACACTATACCGTGCGTGGAGCTCATCTTGATACAAGAATAATAACTTGAACAACCACAGTTTTGAGAAAGCAGTCATGTTGAATTGGTGTACTTTGATCTATAGTACTTTTTACTTTTAATTCTGTTTCTTTTTGTAGGTGAAATAGGTACATATTTAGATTGGTGGATCAATTGACATAATGCTATAGTTCAAAATTTAAGTGCAGATGTGCCACTGCTCATACTACTTCTTAATACTTGTGTTGTTGCAATGGTTTTAAATGCAGAAGCTGATTGGTACTCCTCCTAACAGAGAGACCACATCATATCCAGTAACAGGAGGAGAAGAGAATGGTGCAGAGTGTTTATCAGTGATGCCTAACGAAGTCCAAACACGCCCTAGACAGAACAAGGAAAGAAGGAAAATTTCTATCTTGCCCCTTGTTTTCATCATTTTCTATGAAGTATCAGGTGGACCATTTGGTGTTGAGGATAGTGTGGGTGCAGCTGGTCCCCTTCTTGCCCTCATTGGTTTATTAGTGTTCCCAATTATATGGAGTGTTCCTGAAGCATTGATCACCGCCGAGATGGGCACAATGTTCCCCGAAAACGGTGGTTATGTGGTTTGGGTTTCATCTGCATTCGGCCCATACTGGGGTTTCCAGCAAGGATGGATGAAATGGCTAAGTGGAGTCATTGATAACGCGCTTTATCCTGTCTTGTTCCTTGATTATCTAAAATCCGATATCCCTGCACTTGGTTCCGGTTTACCCAGAATTGTAGCGGTCTTGGTTTTGACTTCCATCCTCACTTACGTTACGTATCGCGGTCTAACCATTGTCGGATTCTTCGCGGTTCTACTCGGAATCTTCTCCGTCCTTCCATTTCTAGTAATGGGACTGATTTCGATCCCGAAAGTGCAGCCTAAGAGATGGTTAGTAGCAGATATCCATAATGTGGACTGGAACTTGTATCTCAACACGCTCTTTTGGAACCTCAACTATTGGGACTCGATAAGCACGTTGGCGGGAGAAGTGGAAAACCCTAAGAAAACCCTACCACGCGCTCTTCTTTACGCGTTGGTTTTGGTTGTCCTCTCCTACTTCCTCCCTATCTTAACCGCCACTGGAGCGATCCCGCTCCAGCGCGACAAGTGGAGCGACGGGTACTTCTCCGACGTAGCTAAGATTCTGGGAGGGGTCTGGCTAAGGTATTGGATTGAAGGGGCTGCTGCTGTGTCAAACCTCGGGATGTTTGTCACGGAGATGAGTAGTGACTCGTTCCAACTCCTCGGGATGGCAGAGAGAGGAATGATTCCCGCGTTTTTCGCGAGGAAATCCCCGCACGGGACCCCGCTGATCGGGATCCTCTTCTCGGCAACGGGCGTCGTCTTACTTTCGTGGCTCAGCTTTCAAGAGATCATTGCAGCAGAGAACTTCCTGTACTGCTTTGGAATGGTTTTAGAGTTCGCTGCGTTCATTCGGCTGAGGATAAAGCGGCCCGACAGTGTTTCACCACGTCCGTACAAGATACCGGTCGGTACGGTTGGAGCTGTCCTGCTGTGCGTGCCGCCCACGGTGCTCATAGGCGTTGTGTTGGCGTTTTCTTCTCTTAAAGTTGCGGTTATTAGCCTTGTCGCGGTGGGGATTGGGCTAGTAATGGAACCTTGTTTGAAGCATATTGAGAAAAAGAAGATGAATTGGTTGAAGTTCTCAACTAATGTGGACCTTCCTGATATTCATCATACTTCAGTAGCACGCCAAGACACTACTGCTTCATCGGTATGAATGCGCGCAGCTTCTTGTTTTTGGAGGGGAAGGCTTTAATTTGGAGGATTAAATGTGTGAATCTTGTTGGTCTTGTATATTTGAGACTTTATAACAAGTGAAAGAATGATATAATATGGGATAGTTAGATATTTCACATAGTTTTTTATGGTTTTGTTATTATGTAATCTCAGTCAGAGATTACATGACTACAAAAGGCACATACATTATTTTCATGTAATTTCTTGTTGGGTAGAAGCCAAACATGGCAAAATAATGATATGCCAATTATGTTTAGACAAAAAAATGTATAAGAGTTTTATAAAACATCTAACAAAGAAACACATAAAAACTAGTCTAAAGAAACATTTCATTTTCATTTACCCCAGTGCTGCAAAGGCTCCCATCTACGGTGGGGTAAGGGAGGGTCGGATGTAAACAGTGTTACCCATGTACTAAAGCACAGAGAGACTGTTTCCGGATGACCCATAGTAAAAATCCCGTCCAAAATTGCATGGACTGACTGTTGCTTCATGACAAAGAAGCGCAAACAGTTTAGTGAGCCATTTTGCTTTATTCCATCATAATCTCAAGCCAAAAAATAATGAATCTTTGGCTCCATTGAAAATGATAGAAAGAGTCTAAAGAAACATTATTGAAATATAAAAAGTAAATTTTAATATAATAAGTATTATATACAAAAATTTGATAATGAAAAAGAAATTATGTCGACATGACATACATTTAGAAAAAAACGAAGGTATCTTATTGAAAACGGAAGTAAAAGAATACAGTGAAGTAGAGAACGAGACCCACTTGTACGTAGGGGGTGTTTGGCAATAGATGTTGGTCGTTGACCGATTGTTTTAGCTGATTGATGACAACAGATTCTATTGGCTGTTTTAATTAGCCGATAGTATTAACAGTTTGTAAATCGGCGTTTGGTTAAATGAATGTTTATATTCGGCCGATAGCTTATTAAATGACCTTTTAGGACATCAATTAATTTTTTATTAATGATATTAGTAAGGGAGATTTATTTAAATAGGACTAAATAAAAAGATAATTGCAACAATAAGAGTTTGAAGTTTAAATTTCAAAAATAGGATCATCTCTTCCTATTCTACCCTTTCCTTTGTCCTTCCTAATAGTATTTTTTAACCAATCATTATAAAATATAAAAAAATAAAATAAAAAATAAAAATCATAAAAAATAAATAAAAAATATACAGACCTCAACCACCACCTCAGCCACCTTCCAGCACCGCCAACTCCAATCACCGGAAAAGATTGCCAAGTTGGGGGAAAATGTCATCATGATGGCAATTTTGAAGAGAAAGATGGATATTTTCAAAGAGTAAAAATGCCATCTTCATGCCATTTTCAAAGAAATGTGGCATTTTTTACACCAGATGACATTTTTTCCCGGAGACCAGAGCTATTGGTGCTGGGAGGTAGAGGAGGCGTTGACAGTGACCAGCATATTTTTTAAATATTTTTTTAGGTATTTTATTTTATTTTTTAGACTTTTTAAAGTTTTTTAAATATTTATTTATTTATCTTATATTTTTCTATTTTTATTTTATTTTTTCACGTTTTTATTATTATTTTATAAATATTTTATTATTTTTTATATTTTTATTATAAATAAAACTATGATTTTCTTATTAATAAAATAAATCTATTGCAAATTATAGGAAGGGGGTAGAATGAAAAGAAGGAACATATATTAGTCCTAATTTGGCAATAAAGAGATTGTGGTCCTATTGTTGAATTTTGGGCTAATTTTAGACTTATTAAGGGTTAATACTCGTATTAGTAAACTAGATAAATCCTTTTTATATCCCTTTTGAGATTAAAACGTTAAATGTATTAACACAAACAATAATTAATTTAAATCTCTGTTTTTTTAATTTAATTCATATTCCATTCCCCATACTTTTTTATGAGATGAAAACGACATTTTTATGAGATTTCACGAAGGAGCAAGAAACCCGGTTTGAAATCTCATTTCTTTAATTAATAATACGAGTAATTCATTCCTTAGATTTTTTTATGAGATATATCGTTTTTAGGAGAAACACGACAGAGACGAAGTAGCCCCACTTGAAATTACTCTCCAGACACATATCCAAAGCACAAAAAGAAATTGAGATTAAGTAGTATATTGGAAAAATCTTAACGGAGCTGAATGAGATAGCTAATTATAGGAGAAGGCCTCTTGCTTTCTACGCTGGTTTTTTGCTCTTCGATGGAAGCAGATCTTCGGTGGAAAAAACAATGCTGCTCCGTATATACAGAGTATGAAGATTATACCGACTGAGTCACCGTGATTAACATTCTCCCAAAAATCCTGTCGGGTCGAGGTATGGGGGGCTCTTGGGGTGGGAGATTCCACCTTTTGGACCAAGAGTATGAAGATTATTGGGTAGCCAATAGGAACTCATCCAAAATAAAAAAATCCCTCTTTTTTTTTTAAATTGTTGTAACTTTTATATTCATAATCTGATTTTCATAAAAGTTATATAAAAATTTATAAATTTTTTTCATAAAAGTTATATCAAAATTTATAAATTTTTATTATCTTTCATAAGACATCAATATTCGATATATAAAAATTAAAATAATTTTGAAAATACATTGGGGGTGTTTGGCAATCGATTGTTGGCTGTTGACCTATTGTTTTAGCTGATTGATGACAGCAGATTCTATTGGTTGTTTTAATTAGCTGATAGTATTAACAGTTTGTAAATCGGTGTTTGGTTAAATGACTGTTTATATTCGACCGATAGCGTATTAAATGACCTTTTAGGACATCAATTAATGTTTTATTAATGATATTAGTAAACTACATAAATCCTTTTTATATCCTTTTTAAGATTAAAACGTTAAATGTATTAACACAAACAATAATTAATTTAAATCTCTGCTTTTTAATTTAATTCATAATCCATTCCCCATACTTTTTATGAGATGAAAACGACATTTTTATGAGATTTCACGAAGGAGCAAGCAACCCGAGTTGAAATCTCATTTCTTTAATTAATAATACGAGTAATTCATTCCTCAGATTTTTTATGAGATAATCGTTTTTATGAGAAACACGACAGAGAGGAAGTAGCCCCATTCGAAATTACTCTCCACACAAATATCCAAAGCACAAAAAGAAATTGAGATGAAGTAGTATATTGGAAAAATCTTAAAGGAGCGGAATGAGATAGCTAATTATAGGAGAAGGCCCCTTGCTTTCTACGTTGGTTTTTTGCTCTTCGGTGGACGCAGATCTAGGTTGGCAAAATTTTATTTTGCTCTTTGCCGGAAATGTTTTCTTCAAGTAGGAGGAGAACGGAAAAGACATGGGTAGTAAAGGAAATATAAGGAATGACTAAATTCTAAACGCTGGGTAGGGTAAATGGCGTTTTATTTTTTAGTTAATGCCCCGTTTAAGATTAAAAGAAGTTTAAAGTGCACAAGTAGGACCAAAAAACAAATTTATATTACGTAGGACTTAAAACCACTTGTTTGTACAAAAATGCCCCTCATTCATTTTTTTTTGGAATTTAAAATTAAAAATGTACAATTACAATTTAATGAAACCCTAAATTTCATACGAGCAGTTCAACCACCCTCGATAATGTTGCCACCCGCCGCCGCATGCCACTTCCCTAGCCGCCGTTTGCTGCCTCCCTCACTGGTGTTCTATGCCTCCACCCTCGCCGCCTGTCGATGCCTCCCACGCCGGTATCGTCATCCTCCGCCGCCGTCACCACCATCCTCTGACTACCACTGGTGTCAACTTCAGGGCCATCACTTCACATCTGAGCACCGCCGCCATCACAACTCCGCCTCCATTTTCGAAGTAATTGTAATCTGTTTTGTAAAAGTTGGTTTCCCCCATCATTTAAAAACGTCTTTTAGAAGCAATTTGGAGTAATCAAAAGTACTTTTTCACTTTCATTCAATACTAAGATATCTACTTTGTCTCCTGAATGATCAGAAGCACATTTAAGAAGTAAATTCAAACAACCACCTAATTATGTGCCTTATACTCCCTTTATCTCTTAAAACTTTGTCAAGTTTTACCAGCACCGGGATTAATAAAGTAAAACTGTGTGATTGAGATTTGTGCAAAGGAGAGAGAATTAACTGGAACTACAAATTATTTACATAAAAGGGAAAGTAACAAAACTAATGAGACAATCAAAAGAGGAAAAACACATGTTTAAGGGACGAAGGTAGTATTTGTCAGTAGGTTTGAATGTAGAACTTATCTTGTGTGAATTATTATATGGACTACAATTTTTGTACTCTCAGTCTCTCAAAATTTTGCCAAATTTGATCGGTATGAGAGATAAAAGAGTAAAACAAAATGTTGTGGGAACACACTTTTTATACACATATGATGTACAACTCCCTAGTTGTCTGTTTACACAGACAGTCCATTCAGAAACTACCTTATAGACAGACAACTAGCAGGGACATACACCAAATATGTACAAAGTATGTGTACACCAAGCATTGCTCTAAAAAACTAATAGGAATTACAAATTCATTATTAAAAAGAAAAGGTAATGGAGTTTTAGTGACAACAAAAAAATAACAAAATTATAAGTAATGCAAGGAGCATGACCCTACCTAACTTATGAAAATGGAACAGGTGGAGGTTAAATCTCTTTTTCATCTAAACCATCCAATTAACAAGATCAAAAGAACAAGATTACAAAAATAATTCACTACATAATACGTAGTAGAATTCAATTAAACGAACAAGAATTGAAAAATACTTCAAAGACTTTGGAGGAAATATGAATTCGCATCTGCGTGAAACTCCTCCAAACGAGTTTTATTCCCAAGAAATTATTGTTTGCCTAGTCAGAGCATCAAGACTCAAGAGGCCTTTAAAGATGCCCTTATGGCTCAGCAGGACGCAGCATATAGATGGTTTCGTTGGAGATTGTTTTTGCTTCCCCTCAATTTTTTACTTATGTGGCTATGCATTTGTTAGAATAGACATGCCCATTAAAGATGCTCTTATGGCTATATGAAACATGAAAGGATTACCATGGACGGTGCGTCTTACCTTTTACCTTCTTCACTTCTTCAAATGAGCTCGATTAATTTTCACCTTTGCTGGATTATGGTGGAATTTGACTGAGTATTTGGTTATATATCACGATCGGTTTATACCAAGTTTTATTTTGTCTTCAGATATTGTCTTGATGCCCTTGTAGTTTGATTAAAGAAAAAATGTCTCCCAGTGTAAGAAAAATATAATCCGTAAAATTTGCTTAAGAGCCATGCATGTGTATTGTATATGGAATTAGTGACATAATCTTAAAAGTCTCGATTGCAAAAGTTATAATCCGTAAAATTTGCTTAAGAGCCATGCATGTGTATTGTATATGGAATTAGTGACATAATCTTAAAAGTCTCGATTGCAAAAGTTTAGGTGTAATTACTATAGAATTTTTAAAGTATTAAAAGTATAGATGTATTTAGTGTAGATTTTTAAAAATTCTAGGCGTATTTTCCAAAAAAAAAAGTCTAGGCGTATTCAAACTTTTCTTCATTTTTGTGGACTTTTTAAAAAATACGGATTCTCATAAACTTTTAACATTTTTAGTACAATAATTCTATGCAATTGTCTTTTCTTCTCATCAAATATTTTTTGTGAACTTTTTCTTTTGTCTTTACTCATTACAAGTACACATGAATCCTTTTGCAGAACTAAATTAGATTTGACTAATTATTTACCTGAGATTACAAACTGGTTAATCGGTCATGAACTAGTACCGAGTCGTAAGATAAGTAACATGATGATCTCGCCTTGCAAGGTTTGAAAACTAAATTCTAATTTTTTTTTATTATTTCATGATAAATAAAATTCTACATCAATACGGATATATAAAATAAACTTAAAAAAATGTAGGGTGAGATCAATTCAATTCTATGTTCCCCGGCCGGCTTAGATCAGGGGCCACCAGCCCAATAGCACAGGCCTCTCTAAAAATTAAAGGCCCAAACAAAATGTAAATGTTGTACTTCGGGTGCCCAAATATTATAAGGCCCAAGCAAAATTAAAGGCCCAAACAAAATAAAAAATTAGGTAGACTGCCAGCCCATGTCCAAAAATAGAAGATACTCCGTAAGAATTAAGAAGAGGCTGGAGTAAAGGACTGAAGGCCGATCGGCTCTTGCCCGGCTGCTCTCCAGTCTCCACGACTTCAAGGTGTTCAAGACACCCAACCGGCAACTGACTGCCATCGCCACCGCGCCAGTCCGACACCGCGCTAATCCGCCACCGCGCCACGCCTTCATGATCTCGTCCGCTGAATAGGTCCCGCCGCTCCTGCCTTCGCGCTCGCAACCTCCAGCGTCGCACAGTTCGTTGCCTCCAGCCTCAAGGTTTTCTGAATTTTGAATTTTCTTTTTTAATTACAAGTTAGGTTTTTATTTATTTGATGAAGATAGTAACTGATTCAACTAATTGTTAATTGTATATTTATATTTAACAAATTGGTATTACCGCATAAATATGTTATTAGTTTTTTGGGTTAATTTATAATTTATGCTTTAATAGTCCTTAACCAAAAATTTAAATAAACTTAAAATTTAAAATTTGTAAACATGTGCGGGATTAGTGGATGATTTCAATAATTTATTATCATTTTTATTTATGTTTTATATCTGCTTGTGTTGGAAAGAAATGCCCAATATTTTGGTTGCACAGTGCCCCCATATTCTCCGGACTGGCCCTTTTCCCCAAAATACTTTTTCTTCTATGTTTAGAAGAAGAACTTGCAGACTTAGAAAAAAATTGCAATTTGTCTGACTTTGAGGAGAACTTTAATATTTTAAAAATTTTGGTGAAAGCAATAGAAATTTTTGCCTCCTGATTGGGCTGGAATTTGGCGTGCAAGTAACTTAATCTTCCTGTTTGATGTTCAAAGAGTTCATAACGTGGCCAACACTTTGCAGGTAATAGACATGGCAGCTTTGCTGAGAATGAGAGGCATTAGTGCTTACCATAAACATAGGCACGACCTTTCCTTCCTGAATTTGAATCTGAATGAGTCACTTTGCAGTGGTCAACTCTTCAAGGTACGCCCAATGTGTAGTTCTGCCAAATTTGACGATGACGACACTACCTCTTACAATTCTCCTCCAGAACCTATTCCCAATAGGGCCTTGAGAGATGATTCTAGAAGACCATCCTATGTTCCCCAGAGAAAATTCCAACCTCGCCCTTCTGCTAATTTCAACCGCTCTGGTGATCAAAATAGAAACCAGAGTCAACAGAATAGTTTTGCTGAAGATTTTCTCAAAAGATTTCAGCTTGATTATAATGAAAAAATCAGCTCAAGTCTTACTAATCCGCCTGAAGAGAATAGTGCCGACACTTCTACTGCAGAGGCACTCCCTCCACCACAAACTGCAGACGAGTTATTCAAGAAAATGAAAGAAAATGGCTTGATTCCAAATGCTGTAGCAATGCTTGATGGACTCTGCAAGGATGGGCTGGTCCAAGAGGCCATGAAGCTCTTCGGGCTTATGCGTGAAAAGGGCACTCTTCCAGAAGTGGTTATATACACTGCTGTCATTGAGGGTTTCTGCCAGGCAAATAAATACGATGATGCTATGAGGGTTTTCCGTAAAATGCAAAGCAATGGCATAACTCCTAATGCTTTCACTTTTAGTGTCTTGGTTCAGGGACTCTGTAAAGGGATGAAATTGGAAGATGCGTTTGGAGTGTGTTTGGAAATGTTGGAGGGAGGCCATTCCCCCAACTTAGCAACCTTCATTGGTTTGGTTGATGTGTATTGTAAGGAAAAGGGGCTGGAAGATGCCAAGAACATGATTCAAACACTGAAGCAGAGGGGATTTTACCTTGATGCGAAATCTGTTAAGGAGCACTTGACAAAGAAAGGACCATTCGTGTCTATGGTTTGGGAGGCAACCCTGGGCAAGAAACCTCCATCCCCACCGAATCTGTTTGAATAACTTTATATTCTTGGGAGTTAATCGAGTTTTCTTCCAACACCTCACTTACCATGTTTTCACATATTTTCTTCTTGGTTACCCGTAGGCCGTAGTTGCTATAAGCAACTATTAATATATGGATTTTGTATGAAGCCAGTTAACTAGAACTTCACCCAATGCATGCTGATAAAGAGTGCTTTTGATTTGTTTATGGGTGGATTCTAAACTATGCACAATCTGAGGAGATGAGTCTATATGCGTAGAGCTTGTTCAGGGCTTATTGTTTATTTTAAGCTCCAAATTGGTGCTAGTTCTCTTTGGTAAAGACAAGAGCTTATATAGAGGCCGTTTGGCAACCCTCATTTTCGGCTTATCAGGCTTATCAGCCAACTTTTTTACCAAACACGTAAATTTTGCTTTCACGCGCTGAATTGTGTAATAAGCCGAAAAAGTAAGGCTGAAGTTACTTTTCTGGCTGTATTGGCTGAAGTTACTGTAGATGATCATTTTAGCTATTTTCACATATAATTTTTTCTTTATTTTATTAATAAAATATATTTTAAAAATATTTTTTTCTTGTATCAGCAGAATCAGCCAATGCAGCCACTTCAGTCAGAACTTCATAAATTTCAGCAGAATCAGCCAAAACAGTCGATTTTTGTGTTGCCAAACGGGCTCATAATAATAGCATTATTTAAAAAGTTATATTCTATAGCAGATGATTTAGTCGCATAAGTTGTGCATATCATTGTTCCTATAGTTCTATTGATTTGCAAATTAAGTCATGTTACCAATAATTTGCACACATTAGAGTCTTTTCCATCTGAATTTGTAATGTATTATTTTGATATTTTCGGCAGAAAATTTGATGCGAGCAATACTTATCTTGTCTTTTTTTGTCATACTGAAATGTTGTTAATGTAAATAACTTTATTACTTATTTGAACAAATATGCAATTTGGTAAAGTTTCATGACTAATTAGAAACAACTAAAATTTTCTGGATTAAATGAGCCAATACTTGGGGTATGACTTTTTAATTAAAATAAATTGACTTAAACCAAATCGACCTGAATCAAATGGACAAAACAAAAAAAGAACTCATGAACACCCCTACTGTAAAGATGAGTATAAGACCACATAATCCTATTTTGATCCATAAGAATATAAGATATATTTGAACAATATTCTAAAAAACCCCTTGATTTACCTCATGCGCTAAATGAGACAACATACAAATTACTACGGGAAGGGGTGGTGTTGTGAGTCATGCTGTTAGAACCTCTCAATCCCAGATAGGATGGTTGGCACATCTTTAGTATTTTAGTATAATTTTGGCATAAAGTATAATTCAAATAGTTGAATATAAACAAAAGTTACAATTTTATTTTAAATCTAAAAAATGCAATAATATTCATGATAGGGATAAGATGTTATCCATTTATTTATTCTTATTACATAAAAACAAACTTAAATTCTTTTACATAGTCCTTTAGCGGATTTGACCGATGACTTACGCTTTACCATGCTGTTAATCTACCATTGAGTTAAAGAGGCGTATGATTAAAACTAGGCTAGGCAGGACCATTTTTACGTGATCATGTTGCGTTTTAGTATGATATGCTATCATGTATTAGTCATGAAACTTAGCACACGGGTCATGTTTTAGTACCAGATGAGTAATAAACTCCTTTTTATTTTTGCGTTTATGGTAGAGACTGGGAGGAGTTTGGTTAAGCAACCCGGCAAGATGAATATTATGGTCAACTTTGACCGGGATAGTTTGTTCAATTCAGGTGATAGTTGATCCAAGGGTTGATGAAATCTCATTTTATTTTAGAAATAATTACATATTTATGATTAAAATAAAAAATGATTAAGACAATGTGATTAATGATTATAGTAGTAGTTTGATTATAGTTATTCATGTTTAATTTTTTAACTTAAGCAACACTGACATTATAGTGTAGTAATTATTAGTCACATTTGTATGAAAAGCAATATAGGTACCGCATTTTGGGTACCTCATTTGGTCTCCCATTTGTGTGGTTCACAAAAGGCAATTCATTAGAGTAGGACACTTAATTTAATGTTTGGCTTTTGTGAATCATACAAATGCTGGTGTATAAATGGGTATCCAAAATGGGTACACCAAGTCGTGCTCTATTTGTAAAACTAAATTTTATTTAGGGAAATTAACTATTAACCCCCTGAGGTTATATCATAATTATTAATGTAACTTTGCATTTTAAAAAATCAATTACTTACTCCCTTAGTTTGGATCATTCTCGTTCTTTGCCCTCTCACGTTAATATTTGTTAAATTTAAATTTAATATAATTCTTAAATTCAATTTAAAATGTCTATAAAATTATTTTTTAATGTAAAACACAAATTAGTATCATAATTATAAGTCATTGTTGTTGATCGTAGTTAATAAAAAATTTAAAACTCAAATTAGGTCTTAGATTGACTGCTTTAAATTATTCAGATCATGGAATAATTGGAATAATCATCACACATTTTGTCTTTTAGGTCCCTTGTTGATATTAAACCTATATTTTAGGTCATGGAATGATAACAAAATCTTAGTATTTCTTCTTTTCTACACACGAAAGAAATGTCATTGCGATTAATTCAACCGAATGAATTACAAATAAGATTTGTATATTCATAATGAAGAAATGGCTAGAATTTTGATATCACATTTTATAAACAATTCTTTTTATGTATCTCATAAATATGACTCGTGAATCTTCCACTTAACTACTCTCATTAATTGTTACTCCACGATCGAGTAGTTAAGTAGAAAGCAAATGATCATCAACAATGACTTATAATTATGATGATAAATTGTTTTATATTTTAAAAATTAATTTTAAATACAACTTTCATTGAACTTAAAAGGTATATAAAATTTAATTTAACAAATATTAACGTGAGGGAGTATATAGTGAGAATGATCAAAACTTAGGGGAAACTAATTGATTTTTGAAAATGCTAGATTGCATTAATAATTTTGATAGGACCTCAGGGGTCTAATAATAATTTCCCATTTTATTTATTTAACTAATGGGCAGTATATTTTTAAAATTCCAATTATTTTATGATGTATAAAATCCGAACCTATACTTTGTTGAGTTTTTGAAGTATTCATCAGTTTTCAATTCCCAGATCACACATTCACGCCACCATTTTAGAGCAAGAGCATACATATTGAATTGCACTTGAGCTCAAACGATCAGGAAAAGATAAAAATGGGTAACCAATATAAGCAATCAAACGAGGAACTACACGCGGCGGCTCGTGCCGGTGACCTAACCGCCGTGCAGAGAATATGCAGCACCAACCCTCTGGCAGTCAACTTCAGAGACAAGCACTCTCGAACTCCGTATGTTTTGATTCTCCATATCTCTTCTACTCCATTCCTAATTTCCGCACTCTCATTTGGGTTTGGTTGTGGTGATGTGTGTATTAGAATGTGTTGAGAATGCTAGGAAACACGTATTGCATCTGTGAATTGGGCGAACACCCCAAGCTTCGCCAGTTCGCCCTATGGATTAATCATTTAGCTTGCTCTATTAAACTGTATTACATGTTTGTACTTGGCAGCTTTATTTGCATATGTCTAATTACTTGACTGAGAATTTGAAAATTTGAAAATTGTGTGTCAAAGAGTAACCAAGCATACCCAATAATATATCCTCCTTCTTGGGAGTGTGATGTACAGAAAACTTATCCCGACCTCTAAGAATGGAGAGGCTGCTTCCGTTCTCCACCCCTGTAAGCAGTGTAAAGTAACATTGTGTTTAAAAAATGTCTACACAAAAACGACGAGTAGTAAAAACAACTACAATAGGAGAACAAAAATATAAGCCTCTATATATAGTCATCCATAAACGTTGGGAGTTGGGATGAGAACCTTCACAATCCACTAGATGCCACAATATATTATCTTAATCCACAATTCTTCTATCCCAGTTCACAAGAAGTATGTGATGGATTTATAAAGTGTGGTGAAGATGACAATCAATGCTTTCCTTGAATATTGGTGAAAGTGTATTCAAACTACAAATGTACAAGAGACTGTATTCAAACTAAGATAGACAATCAACAATCGAGACAAACAAGCCCTTGTTTTCAAAAGCATAATGGAATCCGATTTGTTTATTGAAATTTGGTAAACTTTGTTGTTGTCTTTCGAAAGAATCTTCTTCTCCCACTGTGCAATATCTTGCCATGCACATCCTTAGTTTAACTGGTACTTCTGGATGTGAAAGAAATTAGAGTGCCTTTAAAGTTGTAAATTCTCGACCTTCTTTTAAATTCAATTAGGAAAAGTGCTTAAGTAGTTAGTTATGTCTAAATATTAGTTCCGAAGCAAGAAAAGGAATGTATTATCTAATATTGATTCGGCAGAACCAATATCTTCAATACCCACCTTTAAGAAATTCAAAATGTGTTTGGATGATATTATTGATTGCAATAAATGGATTCATGAGGCTGAAATTGAATTGAAAATTGTGATGTTGAGATGAAGCAATTGACGTCAACGAAGCAACTCACAACACTTCATCAATTACGTGCTGAAAATGAGAGATACGATTCAGGATCTTTTGACGGTGAAATGAATGTGGATGAAGTGTCATTTTTAATTGAGTTAGACGAGAGTGAGGAGTGGGATTACTAATAGCGAATAGTAGATGAGTATGATCCATACCATACTCTTTCGATATGGTATAATACCAATACTAATAAGTTTGGAATAAAACTTTCAACCATACATGTTAATGGTCTTTGAAGAAGTGCTTGTTCTTATCAATACAATGTCTGCTTTCAATATTTGAATGGAGATTCTCTTTTCATTATCTTAATATCATGTCACCAAAAGAACAAAGTATTGTAAAGGACCACGCTAACAAATATATGTATTGGCACATCATTTTAGATTTAATCATAAGATAACTTATGAAAAATTCTTATTATACATTTGACATAGTGTTATCATTAAAATAGAAATGTTCTCTCCTTTAGTTAATATCAGAATGAAATAATGTTGGGCTATAAAAAATTAAAGATGTTGGGTTGAATAGGAGCTCTATTTGGGTGGTTAAAGTACAAAAAATTACAAATGAATATTAATCTAGATCAGTGCATTTAATGCGGTACGATTTTGGCTTGGGATAGAAATATATGGAAGCTTTTAAGAACACGTTATTCGATTCGGTACTAGTTCGATGCGGGTTTTATGCTCACCCCTAAAATATACATAGTACATGATAATGATTAAACTATAGATTCACTTTTTTTACTAGACATGATCTTGTTATGTTTATTAAGGTGGCTAAGTGTGTTTAATTAGATTGTTTTTGGTACTATTATGACTTGCTTAGGTGTTTTATTTGGATTTGGTTATTTAACTCTTTTGTTGGTGTATTGTGCATTGTCAAATATAGGTCTTATTTTTACTTGTTATTTTTAGGGTACTGTGACGAAGCCATAAATATGCCATCGCCATGACACTGCCCCCTCCCCATGATGGTCACTGTATGCCATTATGACTCTGTTTAAGCGACTTTTGCATTGCGCGCAGTCTCAACAAAGGATGATATCTAGAGAACGAAAGAGAGGTTGATCAAAGGAAATTTGAACCAATCATCGTGTATTGGTTCTGCTACTCACGAGACAGGGGGAGGGAGGAGGGAGAGACAGAGTTCTAATCTAACAGAAAAGAAAATAGTATCGCACTAATCCTAGTAGGCATAGCCTAGTGGCTTGGAGTATTGGGCTGCGAAATATCAACCTGTTCTGACTATTTCGTAGTGAAGATGAGAATGTTGAGATAGATGTGACACATTAGGAAGGCTAATATTAGAAACTATGTGATAAAAGGAAGTAAGACTGTAAGAGTAACCCCAGCTGAAGACAAGCTGAGAGAGAACCATTGCGATGGTCTGTCAATTTTGGAGGCTTCAATAGATGCACTCTTGGAAAGAATGTTCTTAAGAGTGGTAGAGAACTAGGTGGTAGACTTGTGAGTTAGGAGTTACTGAAAATAAGACAAAAAACCAGTGGCGCAGTGCCTAGGCAGGCATAGCTGAAGCTAAATGTAGACTTTAAGAACACTGGTTTGAAGCCAAATGTAGAGTAAGATCAGAGTCAACTTCATCAGAGACAGTTGGGCGATATGTGGCTTACAAAAGAGATAAATGTTAACCGAATGAACGGTGTCTCTTACTCTATGTGGCCAACCCTATCCAGTGGTAAAAATATTGGTTTGACTTTTTAGAAATGAGCGGTTTTCAAGGTTTTGTCCAGTAAATGACATATAGCATGTTTATTCACTGCACTATGATGGAATACTAATTTAATTTCAGACTCCTTGCTTTTATGCAATTATTATGCTTAACCCATCAAATGGGGTGTCTCAATGTGTTTGTCGGGCTAAACTCACTTTTTGGCTTGTATTGGGTGTCTCAATATGTTTGTCGGGCTAAACTCACTTTTTGGCTTGTATGGTTGTCTAACTGTCTATGACTTCAGTTAGTCGAAGCAATGAAAGAGGATGTTCGATTCATACTAATTATTACTTGGTGCGTGTTTGGGTGGCTTCAAAGTCATGTTTACTGGGTGTTTAGCCGTTAAGGCATAAAAAATTTAATTTTGGGGCCACCTAAACACTATAGCAATTTAACATATCCCAAAATGTAAGATGCTTTTAACATGTTTTGTAATTAAACAAGTAAAATGTAGCGTATTCACCAAAATTTTCTCTTGAGAGAGGAAGGGTGAATTAGGAAATGAAAAGTTATAGTGGTGCTCAAATTGGGAAAGTAGACATTACTTTAGGACAGACTAAATAGGAAATAGGACACAGGGACCATTTGGCAAGGTAAAAAATATATCACCACAAATTTTGCTTTGATCTTACCATTCAAAATGTCTTATTCTATTTCCACTGGATTAATTGCAATGTGTGTTCATTTTTCATTTTCATTTACCCCAGTGCCGCAAAGGCTCCAACCTACGGTGGGGTAAGGGGGGGTCGGATGTACGCAATCTTACCCCTGTACTAAAGAACAGAGAGACTGTTTCCGGATGACCCATAGTGAAAATCGCGTCCAAAATTGCATGAACTGACTGCTGCTCCATAACAAAGAAGCGCAGACAGTTTAGTGAGCCATTTTGCTTTATTCCATCATAATCTCAAGCCAAAAAATAATGAATCTTTGGCTCCATTGCAAATGATGGAAATAATTGCAATGTGTGTTATTGTCGTATTATTTCCATTCATTATATTAGCCTAATTACTCCCTTGCCTCCGCTAACCGATCAATCTTGAACTGAACTCCAGACTCCATCTAGCAGCGTGGTCTGGACATGCACAAGTAGTGAACTATCTATGCAAGAACAAGGCTGATGTGGGTGCTGCTGCCATGGATGACAAGGGTGCTATTCACTTTGCCGCCCAGAAAGGCCATCTAGAGGTTGTACGTATACTTCTTACATCCGGAGTATCAGTAAAATCGGTCAATCGCAAGGGTATGACTGCCCTTCACTACGCCGCTCAAGGGTCTAATCTGGAACTTGTCAAGTATTTAGTGAAGAAATGCACAAATATTAGTGTTAAAAACAAAGCAGGCAAGACTCCCTTGGATCTTGCCACCAATGAGGACATCCAATCATTTCTGCGTGAATGTGAAACCACTTCTATTGGAGAGGCTCTTAAGAGTAGAGAAAACGATAATGGAACTAACCTACAGCCCTCGGCAGAAGAAAATGAAGAAGTCTCTGACGTCAAAGCTGGTGAAGAAGGGTGTGTGAAAGATGACGAATCTTTCAAGAGAAAAGCAGTTGACGATGAAATTTTGAAGGAAACTAAGAAAGCTAAAGTTCCTTTAAATCATCTTCTAGCGGAGGATGACATTGAGGAATAGGAACAGTCTTTGAGTGAAACTATATGTGGAATTGCAGCTTACTATGCACTTTCTGTAACTCTCCCTTAACTAGTAAAATAGGGGGACATATATTGATGATTTGTTATAGAAACGTTGGCTTGGAAACCAGCGTTGGTGTTTAGTCTCCTTGTATTAACTTTTTACTACTTTGGCAAGCATAAGCCTCTAGTTTTTGTATTATTCAAAAAGTCTCAAAAAGCTTCTAGTTTTATGTTTGACATGATAATTTTAAAGAGCTTTCCAAAAATTAAAAGATCTTTTTTGAGATGCTACAGGAGTAGCATCTGAAAAAAGTCCGTGACTTTTAGTATTACTTAGTCCTAACAACTTGTATACCAAACTGAACTAAATCAAACAGCCAACTTTTTATCAAACAACTACCACATTTTCTCTTTAAGATCTTTTCAGTCACTAAAAGTTAACAGTTATTAATAAGCTTACAAAAGTATCTTTTTAACTAGTTGTGTCAAACATATCCATAGCTACCACTTTTTCTCTTTAATATCTACTGCTTTTTACAAAATTTCCTTTTATTTTTCTTGATCAAAAGCAAAAGCTAACAGTTATTAATAAGCTTACAAAAGTATCTTTTTAACTAGTTGTGTCAAACATACCCATAGCTACCACTTTTTCTCTTTAATATCTACTGCTTTTTACAAAATTTCCTTTTATTTTTCTTGATCAAAAGCCAAAATAAGTCAATCGCTTAAAATTAAGTGCATTTTTTATAGACATCGGTCATTGTATGTTTGACATGATAATAATTAAGAGTCTCTGAAAAAATAAAAAGATCATTTTTTGAGAAGCTACTTTAGAGAAAAATTATGTAATTTCTAACTAATCACAACAGTTTGTTATACAAAAAAATCAAAATTAAACAATCAACTTTTATCAAATATTTATAACTTTTTTCTTTTAAGATGTTTTCAATGTTGTTATAATAAGTTATAAAAAGTATACATAAGTATTCTTTCAGCGTGTGCCAATGTACGTAGCCTTAAATGCTTGAAGATCATGCAAATTAATACGTACCCAATTAATGTATATGCACTTACTTTAAGTTGTCACTATATCTAATACGGAGTACTATATTTTAATTCTAATATTTCAATGCTAAAAGAATTGTATGAATCTTTTTGGGAAAAATAAATAAAATATCCCAAACTTTGAAGGGATGTGAGATGAACACCTCAAACTTACATATGTAATTTAAATACCCTAAACTTTATATAAAAAGTTATTTTAGCACCATAGTCAAGTTTTATTTATTTCAAAAATGTAAATTTATGGTGTTAATTGGATAATTTAAAATATTTTAGAATTCATGAAGACACAATAAACATTCTAAACTTCCATTGCGAAATAAATAATATTACACCCAATCTATATAATTGCAACTCCTTTAATTTGCTATTTTAAATTATGCAATTAACACCATAAATTTACATTTTTGAAAGAAATAATATTTGACTATAGTGCTAAAATAACTTTTTGTATAAAATTTAGGGTATTTATATTACACATGCAAGTTTGGAATGCTCATCTCACACCCCTTCAAAGTTTGGGGCGTTTTTATTATTTTCCCAATCTTTTTTCGGATATTTTTATGGAAAGGTATTTAGAAATTTAAGCATCCGTATGTCATGGATAATGAAAATTTCCTACACATGCTCCGAATCAAGGATCATAGAAACAACGGATACTAATCATGGGTTTTTCATTTTTAGTCTCCATTGTAAATTAATGAATATACTCATATGTTCGTCAAATTTTAATTCATACGTTGTATAAATTAAAAAAAAAACAGCTACTACAGCCTACATGTAGGCTATTATAAATCCAGAAATATCGTTGAGTACTCCCAATATGAATTGAAAAGTGTAAAAGATTGATAACATTGATAAGCAACATACTTGATACCAAGATTGTTTAAAACATTCAAAAACGAAAAAGCGACATAATTAATAATACTATATCAAGTAACTGTGCATGTTATATATATATATAATGTCGTTGGACGGTTGGAGAATGTTTCTAATGTATTTCATAATTAAGATGACATCTTGTCAAAATCTAATATTATTAAAATCTAATATTTGCTGGAGAAATGGTTTTTACAAATTAATATTTTGGTCACTTTGAAGCTAAAATAAAGAAGGATTATCCTCATCTAATTTTTAATGGGACTAATAAGTTCGAACATGTTGTACTCCGTGACATGAACATGTCAATGCATTATTTGTAAAAAAATCATTTTGAAATGAATGAAAAATTATTTCTAAAAGTTCTCTCCGAAGTAAGGTTTGCGTAGGACATGCCCCACACCGAAAATCTTAAACAATATTGAATGCTTTTTATATGTCCAATATTGACATTTGTTAGGCCCTAATGGACATTCATGTTTTGCAAGGAGGGAAGACCTACGTTAAAGCATAGAATACTCCTCATGCGTGCCTTGCCATTCCACCGGGTCGTGTGCGGGTGCATACCCGCCCGTGTTGCTTTAAGGCATAAACTTATTTTTTGAACAATTATTTTCAGATAAAGGTGAATATTGAGAGAAGGGTGGCTACCTTAACACATTTCCTTAACATGTGCATTTTGGGATGGTGTCACATGACCAGCCCTTTAAATCCCCAAAACCGTTTAGAAATTGTCCTAAATAGGAGCAAAACCGTTTTCAAATTCCAAAATAAAAGTATCATATTTTTTATTCTCTGAACAGGAGTAATCTGTCAAGTTTGAAAGAAAATGTCATGTTTAAAGCCTAGTATTAATGCCAAAGTTGGCAGAAATTTACTTCTATTTAGAGAATAAAAAACATGATAGTCCTATTTTCGGAATTTCATAACTTTTTTACTCATAATCTCCTATTTAAGAAATTCTCTCTTTTAAATTCCAAAAGGCTGCCTGCGTTTTTCACACAACTTATAGTCTCAAAAAAAACCATAATTTCCTTCTCCGTCCAACATTCCACAGTGTGCGTCGATGTTATTCGGGGATGAAAAATCCCTCTGTTTGGGAAAATTTGTCTTCAAGGAGACAAATTATATTGCTCCTCATCAATTCTGTATGCCTCATTACTAATATTATTTATTTAGTTTTTCAAGATGAGCAAAAACAACAATATCAAAAGTTAAAAATATATGTTTTTAATTTTTGTATAAAATAACTCTAAGATACTCCGCATTATGTTTATTTGATAATGACATATAGAAGAAGGTTCTAGTGAGACCCTCAGATCTTAGTGAGACCCTCTTAAAATGAGATCTTATTGAAATGTGAACTTTTTATCTCAACTTATCATTTATTGCAATCATAAATTAATATTGACATCGCAATTATTCTAAATTTAAATGAGAATTTTTGAAATTATTCATAAATAATTACAAAAAATGCTACAATGTCAATATATATTAGGCATTATTCAACTTTCAAAAAATATATATTAGGCATTCATTTTTTTAACAAATATTACGCATTCATTATAAAAAGAAAGATAGAGATTGTATATTTTCATTTTAAACTAAATTTTCGTGTTAAGAGGGGTCCTCGTCTTTATGAATACATTTTTCAATATATTTCCATAAAAGTGGAGTGTTATATAGCCGACATAGGTACCGCAGATTTTTTTTCTTGCTATATATATATATATATATAATGGGGTACCGTACCTATCATTCACTTGAGTGGTCCACATTATTATATCATTTTTAATTTAGATTTAAATAATTCAACTGCAACACTGTCATTGGTGCATGTGGACAAAGGTATGGTACCTTATGGATACCATAGAATCTACCTAAGTTAAATACGTATAGCACATAGTGACGGACCCAGAACTTTTTTGAAGCGGGGGCACTCCCGCCTATATGGAAATAGATCGGGTCGGGTCAAATCGGTGGTGTATCATTAGTCTTTTTGTCAAGTGCGTTCAAATTTTTTATTTTTAACTGGAAATAGATTATTCAATGATGGCTTCAAGCAATGAACATATATGGATTATAAGTCTAATTTTGAACTTATTAAGAGCCCGTTTGGTGACCCCTTTTTTCGGCTTATCAGACTTATCAGCCAACTTTTTCACCAAACACGTAACTTTTGATTTCGCACGCTGAATTTTGTAATAAGTAAAAAAAGTAAGGTTGGAGTTACTTTTGTGGTTGTATTGGCTGAAGTTACTGTAGAGGATCATTTTAACTATTTTTTCATATAATTTTAAGAAATTAGCCATAATAGGACTTAAACATGCTAAAAAACTCATATTAGGACTTACCAAGTTTTCTCTCGTTGATAGGACTTATACGGTCCTATCTTACGTTTTACTAGTTTAGGAAATATCCTAAATACCCCTGTTCGAAGTTGGCTGAGATCGTTTACAGGCACCTAAAATTTACCGGCCTTTTTCGGTTATCCAGTTTGATGAAGCGGTTAAGAGTTTCCGTTTTCTTGTTAGTTTCCTTATCCAAGTAGTTTCCTTGTTCGTCAATTCTCCATCTTTTTCCTGCATTCGTCCATTCTGAGTACGAGTTCATAGCTGCCTGTGTTTCGTTCTTTTCAGGGTATGTTCACTTCAAATTTAAAGCTTTCATAATACTGGCCGTGATTCTGTTTCCGTTCGTCAATTGAGCATTCTTTTTCTGCATTCGTCAATCCTTCCAGCTCTGTTTTTTTCTTCAATTTCATATTATCGATCCTTTCATCATATGATCGCTTTCAAATTCGTTATAATCAACAATTTATTTCGTATGTCGTTGTACTCTGTTTTATTTCATTAAATTTCATCCGCTAGTTTAGATATCAGTTTGTTTCTACAATTTATTTTGTTTTTGTTAAATTCTCTATTCGTCTACCTAAATTATGCCCTTCGAACTGTCATTTTGTTTGTTCGAACTGTCATGTATATGCATTTTTTGATTACTCCTTTTTATGTTCTGTAATTGTATATAATTGGTACACATTCTTATAAACTGTCATATTGTTAACGCAACTGTCATAATTTTGTCCAAACTGTCATTTAGTTTGTGCTACGTTCCTACCTGTATATGCATTTTTTGATTTCGCCTTTTTATGTTCTGTCATTCAATGGTACACATCCTTATAAACTGTCATATTGTTAACAAAACTGTCATTATTTTGTCCGAAGTGTCTTTTTTCATACTGAAATATTTCTTTTGCTGCATTTTTTTAGGAACCTTTTTACCACAATGGATCCTATTTTACTTGTTATGGTCAAGGTTGACGGTTTTTGGGATTCTAACAATGTGTTCAACAATGTCCACACATGTGGCCTTCATGTTAACTATAATGTTCAATATGCTTCTTTTATTAACTCTTTGAGTGACATCCTTTCTCAGTACAAAGCTAATCATAATTTCAGACTTTCTTATATGCGAGATGGATTTCCTCCTCCTGTTACTATAAATGATCAATCTACCTTAACATTTTATCTTTATATCAAGTCTCTTCAACCAGATTTTTCATTGTATCCACTTTGTGTTGAGTTTTATCCTGTTTCATCTTCTCCTGCATTTTCTATTGATGTTGGACCATCTGCTTCTCCTTGATCTGAAAATGTTGTCATTTCTTCACAACAACATACCCCTTATGATGAGAATGTTGTTGTTTCTTCTTCCCATGCTTCACAACAACATACCACTTATGAGAATGTTGTTGTTTCTTCTGCCCAACAACATTCCTCCTCACCTACACTTTCTTTTGATGATGGCCCACCATTTGGTCAATATGAAAATGTTATGCTATCTGGGGTAAGTTGTGGCCAATCCGAAGATATTGTTTCTTGTGGTAACACTGTGTCTGCAACTGTAGAAAATGAATCATCTGAAGACAGTGATGACATGTCAGATGATATGTCAGATGGCCTTTTAACTAAATCATCTGACTCATTCTCATTTCTCCAAAATTTTGAAATCATCACACAGTCCCATCCTACTTGTCTTCTTCTCCATGCTATTTACAAAAATAAAAAAGAACTTATCCACCATCTGAAGATGTATGCTATCACAAACCACTTCCAATACAGAACTAAGACATCCAAGAAAATATGTTTGCATGTTATTTGCTTAGATCCAAAATGTTGTTGGAGTGTTCGAGCTGTAAAACTACATGGCGTAACAATGTTTCAAATCAGAAGGTAACTTCAATTTTCCTTCTTTAATTCACTTCATTGTAAATTCTGGTTTATAAGAATGTCATGTTGTGTTGCCATTCTTATACAGGACTGTCAACTTCATATTATGTATTTGTATACTAATGTCATTTTTCTTTTCAGATTCCGGCCAGTTCACACATGCTCTATTGATTACAGACAAGGCAAACATAGACAGGCATCTGCTAGTGTGATAGCAAATATTATTGCACACAAATACCTTGATGCTTCCAATAAACCATACCCCCCAAAGCAAATTTGTGAGGACATGAGTATGCAGTATGGAATTTCCATGTCTTACAACAAAGCTTGGAAAGCACAGAAGAAAGCAATGCAGCTGCAATTTGGTTCTGATCTTGAATCCTATCAGCTTTTGCCTTCAATGGCTTATGTGCTTGAGAAAACAAATCCTGGCTCTATGTTTAATCTAGTCACAGGGAAGGATGATGCATTTTCTACCTTTTTTATGTCATTCAAACCATGGATAGAAGCTTGGCCCTACTGCAGACCTGTTCTTATATTGGATGGTTCTTTCATGAAGGCTTACTATAAAGGCACTCTCCTTACAGCTTGTTGCCAAGATGCCAATGATCACATAGTTCCTATTGCATTTGGTATTTGTGGTTCTGAAACTAAAGCTTCTTGGAAATGGTTCTTATCCAAAGTTTGTCAATCAATAAAGTACAGACATGACCTGTACGTAGTATCTGATAGGCATAAAGGGCTTATCAAGGCCGTTTCTGAACTCTTGCCACATGCTAGCCACGGTTTTTGTGTTGCTCATCTTGGTCGTAACATAACATCAAAATTCAGAGGATCTGCAGCTGGTTTGGGATGGAAGTTCAAAGCTGCCTATATGGCAGCAACTATGAAAGAATATGATGACTACTTATCCATGTTGGATTCTGAAGACCCCAGGATAAGGACTTGGCTAGACAAATTAGGTGCTAACACATGGTCAAAAGTAATGTCTGGCCCAAAGAGATATAATATTATGACATCAAATTGTGCTGAGTCTATGAACAAAGTCAATGTCTGTGCTAGAGAGTATTCTGTGTCTAAACTTGTTGATTTCTTGCGTGAAAGGATGCAGCAATGGTTCACAGAGAGGAAAGATAAAGCTGAGAAAACAAGTACTATACTCACAAAGAAATGTGAGAAACGCCTGGTAGCTTTGCAAGCTGAATCCACACGTATGAAGGTATGTCAAAGCTTATTTTTTGACTTTGAATACCATTAGCCCGTTTTCATTTTTTCATCTCCTTTTATAATTCCACTTTGTTTGTTAATATGTCATTTTGTCTTTATAATTTTGTCATTTTTTGTACTTCATATTCAAATAGTCTTATTAGCGTTTTTATTTATCATTTCTCTTCTACTTAATATTCATATATAAGTTGACATTTTACATACTTCATAACCACATATTACTGCTATATTCTTTTGCTAATTCTCTTTTTTATCTACTTTCATATTCTTATTTTTTTTTATTTCACAGGTTAAACCATCATGTGCATATGAATTTGAAGTTGTTGACAGTAGATGCAAGTCCTTTGTGGTAAACCTCAACTCTAGAAGTTGTACATGCGGCCACTTTCAATTAGATCAATTTGTGTGTGTTCATGCTGTGGCTGCAATCGGTATACGCCCACACCTTTCATGTTATACGTACATATCTCCATATTACACAACAGATGCTTGGCTTGCTACATGGTCTGGTATCATGCATCCTATTGCTGATCCTGACAGTTGGTCAATTCCTGCTACTATTCAAAACCAGAGATGCAAGCCACCAAGTTGTTTGAAGCGTCCTCCTGGTCGCCCTAAGAAATGCAGGATTCCATCCATTGGAGAATATAGAGGTTCTAAACGTCAAAAATGTTCTAGATGCCATGTGTTTGGGCATAATAAGAAAACTTGTAGAAATCCAATTCCAATTAATACCCAGTGATGTAGATTTGTCCACTCATTTTATGTTGTCTTCTGTTTTTTTTGTACTTTTAACAATTCTACTATGTGGTTTGGACTTGGTTATCATTTCGTTGAACGTTTAAGGTTTTGTGCTTTAGCCATTCTTGGCATTTAAGTGTTTATGACTTGTGCTTTATCCAAATGTTTTATCCCAAATGTCATCTCACTAATGTAATGTCATTTTGTTTATGTATAAATGACATATGTGACATTTTATGGCATTTTGTATTCCACAAAATGTCATGTTACTTGGCAATTTGTTGTCATTTATTTACTACATGTAAATGACATTCAATCCTAGTATCCATCTACATGTTACTATAAAAAATGCTCTAGATAAACTTGCCAAGGGGACGTACGTCCCTTTAACAGATAGATTTTTTGAACGTAATTTAATAAAATGCATTGTCACAATGCATTGTCATAAAACATATTTCATACGCTTTAGCCATTCTTGGCATTTAAGTGTTTATGACTTGTGCTTTATCCAAATGTTTTATCCCAAATGTCATCTCACTAATGTAATGTCATTTTGTTTATGTATAAATGACATACGTGACATTTTATGGCATTTTGTATTCCACAAAATGTCATGTTACTTGTCAATTTGTTGTCATTTATTTACTACATGTAAATGACATTCAATCCTAGTATTCATCTACATGTTACTATAAAAAATGCTCTAGATAAACTGGGCAAGGGGACGTACGTCCCTCTAACAGATAAATTTCAAAGTTGATGTCATTTTGTTTTCTAAAAACTGTCATCCAAATGTCATTTATCACGGATTTTCTTCATGTAAAAATCTTTGCTTACATAAATATAAGTACCCTGTGTAATGCATTAACACAAAGTCATCTTTAATGTAAAAATCAAACAGATTTTTTGAACATAATTCAATAAAATGCATTGTCACAATGCATTGTCATAAAGCATATTTCATACATTCAAAACACAATGAAAGTTGCTTTAACCAAGATTTTCAAAAAGAATGTACTAGATGTCTAGATGTCCTGACATGATATTAAAAGTACTAGTAAATATAACAGTCTTCCAAAACAAACATAATTGTTTCATCCTACAATCCCATTTCTTTATAGCTTCATTTCATTCTCTCTCACCCTGCCTCCTCTTGCTATATAGGACCAGTTCAGTTGCCATTTTTTCCCTAAATAAAGGTATTGCTTCAGGATATATGCCATCCATGTCCATCCCCACCATTAGAAATTCAGCCATCTTGAGCATGAACATTCCACAATTTCCCCTGATGCATAACACCAAAAATTAAAAGAAATATTTTTTAAAATAAAAAAGTACACTATTATACAATCTGATTAAGCAAATTTATATCCTCTTACCCATCATCTTGCTGTGGACATCCTTCTACGGGCTCAACTTCCAAAAACCTTTCACCCATAGGATCCTCACCCATCTGTTCGTACACTTTGTGATAGTCCATTATTTTGGGCAGGAGGACTGTTATGCATGCAACATAGGACCTGATATCCCTTAGTGAATCACCTCTTCTAGCATTGGAGTTGTACACTCTTACCTTTCTTTGCTTGATATCTAGTACTACCAAAACCCAATGGTTGCCAGTATTCAGAGGGAAGTACACGAAGTCTGCTTTGCTCCAGTGTAGGCTATAGTTGTTCGCACCTATTATGTCACGAACAATATTTTCTTCTTGTGCTGACTTGTGGTATGTATAGTGCCCCTTTGATATAGTGTCAAGCTCCCGCTTCAGTATTTGCAAGAAAAAAGGCCCAGTTGTGGTGTAGTTTTGTGGCAGTTTGTAATGCACCCGTTTCATGCCCAAATAGTACATTACTACCTCAACATGCTGTAAAAAATAAAACACACATTTAACAATTACAAACTAATTCAACTGACTTTGAATGGCATTCTATACAAACAAACATACATATAAATGTACACTTGGGAGTTAGACTGACAAAACTATAACATTTTTGAATTTACCTTGTCAGTGATCCATTCATGATTCGTAAACATGTCATATAACCATGTTTTTGATTCAACTTTCATAGTGTCTAGCAAGAACGGTTTGTGAACCATTTTTTCTTCTTCCACTTTGTACCTTCTGCCATTTTTGTTTTTTTGAAAATTCTTCAACAATCCAACTTGGAGGTATGCTCTCACCCTCTCTATTTCATGATCTGGTGGGCTCTCTGTTGGATCTTCTGTGAAAGGTCCAACTATTTCCTTCAGTGGAGGCAAAAATTCATTGTCAGCTCTTTTCTTACCCTTTTCTCTCTTCCTCCTCTTTGGCGAATGCTCAGATGGAGTGTACTTCACTGGTGACCTAGCAAAACGCTTTTGTTTGGGAAGATCCTCTTGTTCCTGTGGCATTTCCATAATATATATTATTTATTATACTTTTTTATATTTATTGAAAATGTATAAATACACTCAATGTCATACTAAAAAATAATCATAAAAATATAAGCATTATAATCAATTTGTAAAATATTTTGTCATTCAAGTCAAGACAATATTACATAAAATGTTTTGAGATTCATAAAAATCATATATACAATGGTGATATGTACTACAGAAGTCACCAATTTGTCAGTTTCATAACTTCACATAAACTGTATATCACATAACTTTACTAATTTGTCATTAATACTACGAATGTCACTTTTATGTCAGTTTCATACCTTCCAAATGCTACTTGAATGTCATTTTATTTTTTTTAGTTACCTGATTAGGCTTCACTATGATTGCTGTACATGGATTGGAAGAATAGCTCTCAAAAGCCTTTTTCGCCACTTCATCTGCAGTTTTGCAAATCTCTTTGACAAATTGACTATTGTCCTGTGACCCCATCCCCCAACAAGATTCAGCAGTTTTGTCCATCTCTTGAGACTGACTCAATATGTTAAACGTAGGCATGTCACAAACTACATCTTCATTGTGCTCGGTCTCTACAACATCTTTATCTAGAACAGCATCCTCATTTTTTGCACCACCATCCCCAATATGTAAAATATCATCCTCAGTCTGTGCAGCAATGTACTCAGTCTCCTCTTGCACATGAATGTCAGCAGTATCATCATCCTTTAGCCTAGGTTCCTCATCATTCTCGTAATCTTGCCCAGTCATGTCATCATCTTCTTTTTTATTAACATTTTCTTCTTTTTCTGGACTTTCATTCTTTTCAACTTTCTCTGTTCTTTCTCTTGTGTCCTCATCTTCACCTTTATCACTGCCTTGTGACATCTGTTTGACAATAAGTAGAACTTCTTTTAAAAGATCTTCCTGCTTTTTTTGAGTTTTCTTAATGTTTTTCATTTCTGCCACTAGTCTGGCAGTCTCCTTAGCTTGTTTCCTCATGCTTTTTTGCATACCGTTACTATGTTTGCTCATGAACATAATATATTTCTCTGCTTTTCTTCCACTATCACTTGAATCATCTTCTTCATCCTCACTCTCAGTGTCTTCATCACTCTGTGTTTCCTCATCACTTTCAAATTCCATCTCAATCTTCTTTCTTCTTTTAGAAGTTCCCTCGCCAGATTTACCTTTTCCCTTCATTAATTTTCTTGTTTTCCTTTTCATGCTTCTGGTCTGTATTGCCTTTTTTTTGCCTTTTTCTGCAATAGCTTTCATCTTTTCAGCATCTAGCCTCCCCACATTTGGAATAACAATGTCCATTCCATGTCCACCTCTGTCATTGTTTCCTCCAATCATGGCAATCTCTTCTTCTGTTGGTACGATCTGTGTCCACTCAAACTAAACAAGTACACTTTGTTAGTAAAAAAATTGTAATATTATAATCTAGATATATTTAGACTATTAAAACTAATACCTTGTCATTCTTGAATATTATTTGGGAAAGCACCTCCAGTGTAGGTTTCTTCTTGAATTTCCACTTCAGTGTCCTTGGTAAGATGTTTTCTCAGCCCTTTATTAGCTTGCACAAACCACCTTTTGCAAGTCCTGGGAATGTCTCAAATGCCCACCATTGTAAAGCCACCATGTACCCAGGGAATGTAACTCTGTCCCCTTTGCCTTTATCTAATGCCTCACAACTTTGTTTTATTTTGTCAACCAACTCGTTCCAAACATCATCACCCCATGGGTAAGCATTGAATGCATCCAAATCGTTTACCAGGTTTATGTAGTATGCTTTCATAGGCCTGGCAGTTTGATTCCCAAACAAACAATGGGACAATATGTGTAGTAGAGCCAGCTTCACTCCATCCTTTGTCATTGTTCCTTCATCAGTGCTCTCATAACTCTTCAATGCATTTTGGATATCTGCACGGGACACTGTAGCCTTGTTCCCAAAATATCTTCTCCATATATCTCCCTCAGGCTCCTCTGAAATATTTGGCTTCAGACTCCCAAATTTTAAACCACACATTGTTGCCATATCAGCCTTTTGAAAACTGATTACACTGTTTTGAATATGAAATCTGATGACACTGTCATCTGCATTTTCATTAACTTCAGTGACATAGTTTCCAACAAATCCTAACAGTAGTTGTCCACTATTCCAAGACATATCTTCAATTTTTAACATCCAACCAAATATGGTGTTACTGAAATCAGTCAGTTCCTCAGTGCTAAGACATGTCCTTATTCTTTTAAGAACTTCAGCAACATTGCAGTAAGAATTGACACGCAAGTTTTCCAAGTCCACTAACACTGACTTCTTGAAAGCTCTTGTTATTGT